TCAAGGCAGTAGAAAATGGCGTACACTTTAGACTTACAATCTAGTCCTGAAAAGGACTAACCAGTCCTGAAAAGGACTTCTGATCCAGCACAAAATGCTGAGCAGTGAGTTCTCAAAAGAACTGTTTGAACCTCTTGTGTAAAAACACGCTGGTAACAGAAATAATTTTCTGATTAAGTTTGAAGAACAGAAAACAACCAAAGAGGCCACACATGACGAGTGAAACCAATGGCAGCTTTCTATATCCAAAAGTTTCATGATACCATACATTTCAAATTAACTGAAATGAATGAAAGCTTACCTTTTGTAAGTAAATTCTGAGAAAGCCTCTCTATATCTTCATTCTCTGATTCACTGTCTTTTTCATCTACATACTGAGAAAGCCTCTCTCTAACTTCATTCTCTGATGCACTTTCTTCTTCATCTACATCCTGGGATAGCCCACTCTCTTCATCTTCATTCTCTGATGCACTTTCTTCTTCATCTACATCTTGGGATAGCCCACTCTCTTCATCTTCATTCTCTGATGCACTTTCTTCTTCATCTCCATTCTGAGATAGCCCACTCCCTTCATCTTCGTTCTCTGATGCTTTATCTTCTTCACCTAAATTTTGAGGCCCCTCTCCATGTTTCGCACTCTGTGATGGCCTTTCTTCATCTTGCAGATTCTGTGCAGGTGTTAAATCACATGAGTATTCAGCCACGTCTGCATTTCCTAAAAAGAGATAGTTGTTGAGAAAAATACAATATAGCACTGTCATTAATTGGCTTAAATCAAGTAGATTATAATACTTTTTGTCAAAGGAACTTACTTGGTGCCCAGAACGCTAAGTGTGTTTTGCATTGGGGTGTAGACCCTTTTGGGCATCGATAGAAAAAGCAACCTATGCGGCCAGGCTTATTGCTAATTTTCCTGCGAACAAACAATAAAATTAATGGTGGTGGCATACAGATAAAACTTCCAGCGGTAAACAGGGCACTGAAATACGTGCTGCACAGGACTGTAGCATGTTTTATAAAAATTGCAATTTAATTTACATTACCATTACCATCACCAAATCTTAAGATTAAAAATTGGTGAGCCAAGGAACTTACATTTCTAGCAATGATGAGCACCCAGGACACAAATATGCCTCCTCCACATCCTGGGAGCCAACACTATAATCTGAAAAAAGTACATACATTGAAACGATTGGTAGGGAATTGTGGTAGTTAGCAGATATTTTCTACATAAGAAGTGAAATTTTACCACAACAGAAGTTGCACAGCCTTATCCCTCTCTCGTCTTCGACCGAACAAGGTGTCTCAGGATGGATGGGATTGTGGCACTTACTGCAGAAGTCGACGCCTAACACTTCGTCCTGACAAATACAGCATTTTAGGCTGTCATCCTCACCCACCTTATCTTGGACAGCTGTGAAATTCCAAGCTGGTTTCCCTGCAGTTAAATCAATATTAGGAAAAGTGACGTTCACTCTAAATACCCCAAGCAACATAAACATGAGAGGACATAAGCAGGTTTCACTTCTGTAAATTTTAAATACCTTTTTTCTTTCCTGTCTTGGGCCTCCCCCTTGTTGTCACAATTTTTAATTTAAAATCAGGCTTTTTGACTTGATCAGGTTCATCAGCAGTACTGTCATCAATAACATTATCAATGGGAATAAAAACTCTTGATTTCTTGTAGCCTAGGATCGTGAGAAATTGCATAATAAGACTCACTAAATACTGTTTTTTTTGAAATATCAAGGAGATTTGAGCAGTTACCTTTTTTTTTACTGCCATCATGCACTGTCTCTTGAATACCTCGAGGCTTGCCAATAATTTTAGACTTATGAAGATGAAATGGAGCTAAAAAAAATGCAAGAAAAGGGATGTGTTATTAATCATATGTTGAAGGGAGAAATAACATTCTAACAAATGCACCATTCCTTACAGTCATGTGGAGTACACTGTTATTTCAAAGGCGTCCCGTCAGAGTGCGACAAAGGCGTAGGCTACAGAAACCAGTGCGACTTAAGTCGCAGTCTGGGCATACACCTTTGTCGCACTGCCACCATACACCTTTGTATGCATAAAATGCCGGACAGGGCCTAAGCCCCTGCCAAGCCCCCTGGGCAGGTGTTTGGCCTCCATACACCTTGTGTTGGGTAAAATAGTACACGGTTTGAGGGAGCTGTGAGCCGTGGGCTCCAGGCCCATGAAGTGCACTCCCAAGGTGTATGCAGGCCAAGCACCCGCTCAGGGGGCTTAGGGGTTGTCCGGCATTTTATGCATACAAAGGTGTATGGTGGCAATGCGACAAAGGTGTATGCCCAGACTGCGACTTAAGTCGCACTGGTTTCTGTAGCATACGCCTTTGTCGCACTCTGACGGGACGCCTTTAAATAACAGTGTAGGGGAATGTGTTTCTACTGTCCTTTCATTTGCGTCAGTAACGTCTGAAAAATAAGAAATGCAAGTTATTACACAAGGCTCTAGGAAAGCTATGTAATTTTCAGTGAAGAAAGTTTAAATCTATGTATCTATAAGACTTCAGCCAGCACTGTTACCTTCATGAAAGATGTGGGACTTGTGCAGAAGAGTAACATCAGAACCCTTTTCCCAAGCCTCAAGTACGTCACTGAGCAACTGATACCTTGCGTGGAAGCTCTTAGTACCGCTGTCTGCCAAAAGACGGTTGATTTTCTGGGTGAGAGTAGCAGCTTGGTTAAACTTATCCCTGGAGTCCATCACACGGGCTACACGAGGAGGCATCCTTGGTTTTAATATTGTAGTATTGTTGGCCACCGTAGATGTACTCTTCCTCTCCCCCACTTTCCTCCACCATCTACTGGGTACAATGGCCTTGTCATATACTGGAGAGCCTAGAGAGAAAAATAGAATAGAACACATATAAACACACTAAAACTGAGATCAAAACAAATAATCCTAACACTTTTCTGAAAGTTTGCAGAACATAAAACAGAGCAACCTTACTCACCTTTCTGCTTTCTGAATCTCATTATGTGGCGGCAGATGAGCTTCAGAGTCTTGAACTGAATGCAAGTGCAAGACTTTTCAGACACTTGATGCATGTCCGGGTATGGAGAGGGTTTAGAAGCATCAACAAGCTGCTCACACACAATTTTTGCAGCAAAATCACTCAACTCATTACAAATTACTTGCACAATAGGGTTGCTGCACTTGTTTATTTTAACCTTCTTAACAAGTGTTTCATGATCCCTGTACCGAAGCTCATCCTTCCTGTTGCGCATGAGAATATTGACTATACCATCAACAGCCTCATATAGTTCAGTGTTTACATTGAAGATCTAGAATTGAAAACAAATTACAAACAGTAATATAGACGTGCATAAAACGATTTTTGACAGACAGTACTGCTACCATCAAATGTTGTGCACAAAAACTCACCATTTTCAGTTTTTGGTTGTGGCTCTCCACACGATTTGTTGTGTGGTTTCGCAAAGTCATTACAAGAGCACGATCCTTTAAAGACCACGCCTCCTTACAATTAAGCCAATTTTTCTCAAAGTATGAGTATAGTTTCTCTGAAGCTGCTGCTTGGAACTCTGTGCAGTGCTTTGAAAATTCAGTGTCAGTTTCAGCGTAAACCATACCTCGGAAAGAATCCAATGCCTTCTTTTTGGTGTTGTCGCCTTTTGCAGCTAACTTTAAGTTCCTCTCCACATGAACACTGCATAAGTGGATTTTAGCATCTGGCATTACAATTTTAACTGCACCAATTTCCGAAAAGTCTTTGTCTACCACCACACACTGTGTGTTCAGAAGAGTTTCTTTGCCACTAGCTTTAGCAAAGCACATCAGTCCCGCAGTTAGTGTTTCCTTCAGTTCATTTGCTAGAAATATGTAAGCGACGACCTGGCCCACTCCTTCCCCGTCCATCACTTCAATGACACTGACCGGCATTTGATTTTTGTTTATTTTATAAGTAATATCCATGAGTATTACTTCTGGAAATTTCTCTAACATATCTCTCATTTCACTTGTTTGAATGAGTATGAACACAACTGCTCCACTTTCCTTGTCAAACTCAATGTGAGTATATGCTCCAGGATCCTTCGATTGTACTTCAGCCAACTTGTCTAAGAGCATTTGTTCATCGGATCTTCCCCGTCTCAAGTCAAGTTTTGCTTTGGTTCTGCAATAAAAAAAGTAAATAAAATTTTGCATTCATAACATATGTAGACTAGAATAAGTAGTCAGTCAACCAACCGAACATTGGAGATGTCCCTGCCAAGAATAATCTTATTCTGTCCCTCTTTATCTCTTAAAAGAGGTTTGATTAGTGTTGGCTTCGCTCTAAGCTTAATGTATTCTAATATACTGGCTTTGGACTCTTCCGACAATCTCCTAACTTCAGGGTACCCTTCGTACGTAACCTCATTACAAACATGGTTGTGCTCTGGCAAAAATCTCTGCACAACAAGTTTATTAAGTTTAGAATCTCTGGACACGTAAAGTTCTGCCTCACAACCAATTTTGTAGACTCTGCAAAGAACAAAATTCCACACATTACTTGTCCTCCTCTTAAAAACTGCAAAGCATGTAAATGAATTCTTACTTCTGTTTAGGACGCTGCCCAGTGAGGTTGGGATTTTCTCTTGGATCCCCAAAATGCTTGCACACGAACAAGACAAATCTGTATTTCAAAACAGGGTCTTTGCCATACTCACTTCTTTTTTTACTAAATATGACAGAATGAACCTTGTTGTAGGCACCAACATGTTTCTCAAGTTCTTCAGAGGAGCCGAACGTCTGCCCTACATAGATATTAATCTCATTTTCCTTGAAAAACGAAGAAGATGGTTAAAAGACAAGCTCAAGCTGTCAACGACATTGTAATAAATAAAACAAAATTGATGTGAAGTGACGGGCGACAGAGTGAACAGAGGTTATGATACCAGCCATAGGTTGACTGCACTTGCAATGAACACTGACGAATAACATTTATAATAAATTATCATAATTCAGATAGAGACGTGCTTGTACATACCTCCATAATGAGCGTTGACACAGCAATATGTAAATTGAGAGAACTTCTTATATTTCTTACTAGGCCTAGGAATCGAGGGGGGGGCGTGCTGGCTTAGGCTTAAGCTCACCATACATGCCGGTTCCCGCGCATTTGATTTGAGTTTGACGAAGTAACGAGCAGGGTTGCGAGTTGCAGCCCCTCGGGGTAGAGTGCGCTAGTGAGGGGTGAGATGAAACACTGGGGCGCGCCATTCAATCTACGGTATTTTGGCCCGAATGAAACGGCTCTTGCTTAATGTTGACGCCTCATTTCCACCGTTTCTCCTCTTCAGAAAGTACATGCATGTCTATTCTCCCCATTAAAATACAAGAACGACCAAATTTCCATCATTTTGCTGTTCAAACGGACACTTTTTTCATGCCACTGTTCCCCGTGTATTTCAACGGGGGGAGCTCGCGCGCGAAGCGAGAGTTGATCTCACCGCTCACTAGCGCTCCAAGCGGCCGCAACTCGCAAGCGCCATCCCCATCCGCAAGAAAGCTATTTTATGAGATTCGCTTTATTTCTCAGAGAGTTTAGGCGCATTGTCGTGCTCATGCCTATTTTTTACGTTGGCACTAAATCCGCACAAGTTTCGCATAAAAACTGGCGTCGAGATCTGGGCCAGGAAATGTAGTGGTGTAAATAGTGTCAGAGGTGTTGCTTGCACTATGGTGTTAATAGTGAGCTTAACATTGCTCGCACCACCCAGTGGTGAAAATAGCACCAGGCACCCAATTCGCACCCGTGGTGCTAATAAATTAGGCCTAATGTGATAAGTCCATCTCCTTTGGTTCAATTCAAATGAGATTAGGATTAAAGTATGTCTTACTGTTTATTTTTCAAATATTGCTCATAAACAATTATTTTTTTCAGCTTTGAATTCTCATTTTGTATGTTCAAGTTGGTATCAGCCACCATAGGTTCGATGGTGATTCCCTTTCGCACGCCGTTCGCACCTCGGGTGACTTCTTAATATATATACTTTATATACTTAGATTATATACTTAGATCATCCATCAATAATATTTTTATCGAAGTTCTGTGTTTGGAGGAATAAAGGAGGAATAAAGGAATGGGCAATCCGAACAGTAATTGTGTATTTCGCAGATTAATATAAAGAATAAATTGTGTTGTACCTCCTAACATATACAAATTCCTGCATATAGCACATCTATTGTAATTTGACGGAATTTCCTGCACCTTTCTCTTCTTTGGCTATTTGACGGAAATCTATTGTCGTTCTCTTTATAGATTTCCTGCAAATAGCATTCCATACCTTATTTGCAGGAATTCCTGCAAGTAAGTTCATTAGCGCTATTTGTAGGGAATTCCTGCAAATAGACACATCCCTCAGAGGGCGCTCTTATCCGCACACAGGCTCACTGTGAATAGTGCGTGACGTGTGAACTTTACGTAAACGAAACACGGTACGGTATGTAAACACTAATAAATACATAGTCGGTGGAGGTTCGCGGAGCGTTTGGTGGGATTTAAAGGTGATACGAGGAACTCAATGTATTGCCACATTTCTTCAGGTGTACTGCTTTCATGGCCCACGGTACCTCATCTCCTTTGTTTTGGTCGCTTGTCGTCGCCGCCTCGAGCATTTCGAGGTTATTGTCGCCACTCCTTCAAAGATTGAGGTATTTCTCTATGAAACGGTTACTTCTTTGTGTTCATACCAGTGAGTGTTTGGAATTTGCTTTCAACAAAATAGCATGCTGTACAGACTCCTTGCAACGGCGTATGTGAAAATACGTGTTTTGTATATTGGGTTAAGGGTTTGCTGATCGCATTTAATTTTGGTCACATTTTTTTCCAGGTTTCAGTTGCAGAACATTCTCTGGGTGTTTAAAGAATGTGAAGCCCTTCCCCTGTCTGTTCTCATCCAAAGTGTCAACAAGAATGATCATTGTATGCTCAGTAATGTGTAAGTCAAACTCTAGTAAAGTCGAGAAAACATTGTTGTGTGAACTACGGCTTATTCGCTTTTGAAGAGTCATATTAATAATGTGTAACATTTTGTATTTGTTTGTTTCTAGTGCCGAAATGGAGACTGCACTTATCTGTTGAGGGGCCCCTTATCCATCTTCTTCTCCTGAACGGTTTACGAACTAAGTTTGTGAAATTCCCCTTGTTGGCTGGTTCTGTCTTCACACGTTACGAGACTTGTGTTTAGCTGAGCAGCAGTGAAGTAAAAACCAAAGACTCAAGAGTGATAAATATGATGATAGCTAGAAAGACCATGTGAAATATGGTATGCAGGTATGTTGGAAGTTATTCGCCAATCTTGATGCGAGTGTTGCATGTCTCTTTGCATATGTTTCAACTAAATATGTCAATCAACTTAATTATTCAATTGCATAGCCTCGAGTGTTGCATGATTAGTTTGTTCAAGCCCAACCTGAATTTAGATTTGTTCGAGTTTTGTGGAACTTTGCAAACCTTAACATGGATTCGTAAATTGAAACTAAGCATGTTATTTTGATTCCTAAATTCCTTTATTATTATTATGGTAAATGCAGAGAATATGCTTTAGCCAGATTGCAAGCAATAATATGTACAATGGTGCCAACAGTGCCAGGTGTGAAGAGTGTGTGATGATTGTACTTGTGGAAAACACGGAAAACATCACAGTCTGACTTGTACTTTAAGTAATTTCTTTGATCAGGTGGTGTATTGCAACTCTGTACATTACATTGATCAAAGCTTTATTTCTTTAATCTATTGCATTGAAATCTGGGCAACAAGACATGGGTTTCGATTAATTGGATTGCTGTTACCTTTTCTGACCTACTTCATAAAACTAAATGTGGTTTGCGGCAAGGGTGTATGTGACAGGCTGCTTTAGATTGTGAATTAGTGTGATTGATTTCCTGTTCATCATTTAGGCTGAATCTGTGATTTTATGAAGTGAGGCCCTTGTTCTGTAGTCTGCTTTCCAGCATAACTACCTGGTCTTATTATTATGATTAACATTTTGCATTTCCCATTTTACAGTGTAAAGAAGAACCAACACATATCTGCTCAAGGTCTTCCTGTGGTCCACCATGCATGTTGAGGGTGTGTTGAACTTATGTGGATAGTAATAGTTTAGGTAAGTAACATGAAATCTTGTTGTCACTTTTGTGTTGTTACTGGTTTTACAAACTTCTGTATTAATTTCTTTTCCTTTTGCCTCTTTATAGGCCGAGTTTCAGCTCCTATCTTTGTTCCTAGCTCTGCCATACCTACAAGATAGTACTTGTGTGATATTTGATACGATAGTAACTGAAGTGACAGTGTGTGTGCAGTAATCTCTGTATCATAGCAACCATGATTGACTTCATATAAATTTCTTTCTGTAGTGAGATTTGCAATTGTTTTTCTTGTGCCTGTCATTTATTAATTTGTGAAGCTAAAAGTTTTCCAATTCTAACAATCTGTTAAAGCTTCATGAAATTTTTTGAATATCAGCAGTTTTTATTTGAAAAATTTTCATTAGAAAGTATTTGTTGCACAAATAGATCTGTAGCTCTTTAAAGAAGTAGTATGACTGTCACTGTTAGTGTACATGGAATGGAGACCATCGCTAACTGTGAGAGGCAACTTGGACCATATCAGTATTACCGAGTTATTTATAGCCCAGTTGTCGGTCTGACGTGGGCGAAATAAAAAATGAATCTTGTCACGGGTGTTATTGTGAATCAAGGGCACTGTAAATAGCATGCTTCCAAGCATAAATATGTTTCTCTTAGTGCATATACTATTGTTGATATCCACCCTTATTGTGTAAGGCCATACTTAGACCATGCCTATGGACGTTGTCATCTATTATCCTAGCAGCCTTTTGACTTTGAGTTGTACCTCCAATACAGCTTATTTTCTCAATGAAATATCACAGACTTACTTTACGAATCAAATTGTAGTGCGCCAATGCCACATTGGTACCGTATCATGTTTGTTTTTGAAACACGCACTGTTGAGAGTTCTGTAGTGTTCCATGTAAAGTGGAATCCAAACAATGTTTGTGATTATCTCATGCTACCTTGTTTATTTTAAAACAGGGTCCTCTCCTGTAGGCAGCTTTTGTGTGTGGCTTAGTCTGATTCTATTGTCAGAATCGGTTGTTGACCCTATTTGTATTAGTAAGTCCTGTGTGTGAAAAGAGATAGAAATATTGCTCAGTGGCTATCGAGGTGTCTTTCTTCTTTTCGTGTGATATTTTTTTCTGCTGCTTTTATGCAACCCATTGTATTTCCCGATAGGATCACTGATGTTGGCTTCTACTGTGTGTGAAAAAAAGTGATTAGGTTGTCATTGTAGTACTGGTTTTTGCCTCTAATGTGTAGGACAATTTTTCTGTTTTATTTGTGGTAGTTGATCACTTTTATTCGTTTGTCATGATATTAGTAAGTCAATGTTATGGCCCACTGCACTCTGTCTGCCGAAATACTTATCTGGTAATCCAATATTGGAATCGTTGTAAGCTATGAAACATAAATTTTCTTGTGACAGGTTTTGATTTTATAAATTATACATTAGCCTTTTAGTTTGGTGTTCAAATTCAATCATTGTTATTGGAAATCAAGGTCAAACTCTGTGGCCTGTGTTAAAGCACATGTATGTTTCTCTTTGTTTGAATTTAATACCTGTTCTCACGTTGCTGATGGAGACGATTCAGGCTTTGTGTATATGTGTTGCTTGTATCAGTTGTAGTTCCATTATCACTATGAACTGTGGCTCCAATACTATTTATTTCTCATTGTCACATTGTGGACTTACTTTATTACTGAAATAGGATGGCTCTAAATGTTAATTTGTGTTTTTTCAATCACTTTGAAAATATCACTGTTTTACAGTTCTGTGGATTTCTTTGTAAAGTGGAGCACCGTAATTTTGTTATGCTGCTTTAATACAACCCAGTGCATTTCTCATTAAGGATAATTTTTGTTGGCTTCCACCGTGTGTGAAAAAATGAGATTCGGTTGTCATTTTAGTACTGGGTTCTGCCTCTGAAGTGTGGGACAATATTTCTGTTTTATTTGTGGTAGTTGATCACTTTTATTCGTTTGTCATGATATTAATAAGTCAGTGCCTTGGCTTACTGCACTCTTCCTGCTGAAATACTTTTCTGGTATTCCAATATTGGAATCGTTGTAATCCATGGAAAAATAAATCTTCTTGTCACGGATTTGGATGTCTATATAAATTATACCTTAGCCTTTTAGTTTGGTGTTCAAATTCAATCATTGTTATTGCAAATCGAGGACAAACTCTGTGGCCTGTGTTTAAGCACATGCATGTTTTTCTTTGTTTTAATTTATTAGCTTTGATAGACAGAGGGGGGCGTTGCGCCGCGGGTTGCGTAGGTACAGGGGGTGGTATTCTTCCAGGCGACGCTTACGACGCGCAGGCCGCACGGGTGGGACCTCTCGCTCGCACTCACGCACACCACACTAGCGCCGTCTCTATCGCACGCGGCCACAGTGGCCAGAGGTCCGCGTGTCTGAAACCCGTGGCCTCTCGCGAACTTGTGGACAAGTTGTGGCGGGCATGGCCAGGTGGCGCAGCTGGCCGGTGCAGAGATCGTGCGCATACCTATCCTGCTCCGCACCCTGAAGGGCGTCGCGGTGGTGAAGAGGTGTGCGGCGAGTCACCTGGCCATCGTTTCCTGGGACGGGCCAGGAATGACTAATTGACACCTACAAGATCGGGCCGCTGCCGCGAGGAGCTTGACGACGCCGTCCTCGTGGCCGTGGCGCAGGGCGGGAGTGAAAGGTCCTAACGCACTTGTCCCGGCCTCGCTCTCTGACTGCTGTCCGACTTCTCTGTGGCCTCCAACAGCCGTCGAGAGGGCTCCTCACCCTTGGTTCGAACGGGAGCTGGCGTGGCCGAGGACGGACGGCAGGGCACCCGTCTAGGTCGGCGAGGCTCCCTGCCGGCTCGGGAAGGCCTCGCGCGCCAGGCGCAGGACCTCGGCGCCGTAGAGTCCTCCAGGAGCTCACCGGACTTGTCCTCCCGGCGGTCGAGCTCGGCCCCGGCGACATCCTGCC